TCCAAGTGAAAATACCGAGGAAAATACCATTTGATTGGACTATTGGAACATATATCATTTCGTTATCAGATTACGTTCGAAATTTGCAGCCGCCTCTTGGACTATGATGCCGAAGTGGATAAGATGGAAATGAACAAAATATATCTCTCTTTTGAACTAGTGACTCTGACGAACATACAAGGAGAAGCAATTCGATTCTACATAGATATTTTTGTCAATTAATGGCCAGCCTATGAAATGGTCTATTATACATATAATGTAAGTTCAAGAAATAGAAAACGGTTAAAAATGGCGATTGGGTTCTTTGAAAAAGAATATTTCGTTTTCCAATTCAGATCACATCCGAACTAAATGTACATCAAGGTCATGTTTTTCGGAAGAAACTGATTGACTACCTATTAGTATCATTAGGAAGTAAAATTGAATACGAAATATAACACCGATGTCTCGTAACTAGTAATGAAATATACCAGGTGGCCACGAGAACTCTAGGCTGCTCTCTATATTTTTTTTGAGAGGTCAAGAAAAACTGTATTCTGACACATCGAAATCAGAAGTTTAGATCACTCAATAAGGAAACTCAATAAGAGAAAGCACAACAGACGCGAAATTTGAGGTAAAGTCTTGCAAATATAAAAGTTTTATTTAAACTCATTGATCTAGTTTAGTCATGTTTTATAATCAGTTTTCTAGCAAAAAACTCGAGCAATCGAAGTCAAGAAATGTTTTGTATCTATATGATTGAAAGTGAAAGAAATCAGATAGTGAGTTTCATTACACTAAAAATAAATCGAACAATCAACTTCTCTTCGTTTTTTCCACAAACAAGAAACAATTTCATTCAAAAAAATATATAAAATATATAGAAGAATACCTACAAACTTAAAATACTAAATAACAATAAACTTGTAGGTGTGCGTACCGAGAGACTATAAAATGTGACCCTACCTATAAAATATCTTTCAGATCGCTACCATAATAGATCAGTTCACACAAAAAAACTGTGAGGTGCTGATCTGATCATCATCCAGTACATTTGAAAATTTTGTATATCGCTATTTCAAACCAACTCCCCAGAAGTCGAAACTTGTACGAGGTTAGGAAGAACGGGACCTACAGCTCTTAGTGGAATCCGAACCACTTCTAGGGCATCGAGGTCATATCCATTGAACAAAAAATAAGTGAAGAGTCGCAGTGAGTATGTATAGATACAGTAATGAGCCCATGACTATTGCAAAATTCATCGAAGATTATAGCAGAAAAGGGCTGAGTCATGTTAAATGATTTTTCAAATTGGGAATTGAACCGACATAATATTCCATATACATTGAACAACATACAAATAGTGACAAATATGAAAGAGGGCCGTCCTCATACATCTTTTATTCATGGAATGATTTTGACGATTTTTTTCTAATGGGGAAAGGAGAAAAATTTATTCCGGAGCTATGCGGCGTCCACTCTTTTGAAAACAAAGACCTACAAGATCACGTTCAGGGGATGAAAAATCCAGAATCCATATTAGCGATTTGAAAAAAAAATTCGCGTACGCCACTGGAATGTGATCCAAGTGGCCTTGGTTTTTGGTTAGCTCCAAATTCACCTTCCTCATTTCAGGCGAGAATGCATTTGGCACATAGCCCAAGCACAGTCGCACCTCAGCCAATCAGGGAGCGCGTCAGATGTCATAATCAGTTCCATATTTTAGCGAATCTAGCAAATCTAAGAAAAAAACTAGCGAAAGGCGAAAGCACAGCGTGGCAAAAACCTAACCTAACCACAATCAAAATAAAAAATTATTTTCATTTATTATTTTTGAAATGTGTGCTAAAATATCGAACTGATTATGACATCTGACACGCTCCCTGATTGGCTGTGGCGCAACTGTGCTTCGGCTATGTGCCAAATGCATTCTCGCCTCATTTCATGTGTTCGTTTAAGCTTCAAATTCCGATATTCATTTCAAGGAAATACATTCAATGATGTCATATTGATATCACAACAAGATGAGCTTTATGTGCATTTGGTGTTGAGCCACTGTTAGGGCTTTCAAATGATAATACGAAGGGGTGCAGAAAAATTGAATTCCATCTCTCATGAAACATATTGGTGTTTCATGGTTTTTCGTTCAGCCGTTTAACATTATGTGTGTACAGGGTGGCCAACTAAGACTCCAGAGTTCGATTTCTCTGTTGTCTTGAGAGATACAAAAAAAAGTTTTGCATTCAAATTAAAGTGATAACCGAGCTTCACATTTCAAAATTTCTTCGAAATACACAGGGTGTTCCGTAAGGTCACAGCACATCAAAGCTATGTTTTTTTATTGGAACACCCTATATTTTATTTCATTTTTGAATTCTCCCTGAAGAGCTGATTCCAACGTCTCATCATACTTGGGGTCTAGCAGTAATATTTACTGAGATAAAGTTCAGGACCTTTTTGTGTCGAAACTATTCATATCTCAACTTTTCACTCACTATCAATTGGTGTTCAATAAAATTGATACAAGGTGGTCAAAAAATCAAAATTTATAATTTGTTTTAATTAAATGTCAATTGAACACAAATTGATAGTGAGTGAAAAGTTGTGATAGGAACATGTAAACCATTTTGACGAATAATGAACAGTTTCGAACAGAAAAAAATCATGAACTTGGAAAATCTCGATTTTGCACACCCTATATGTCAGTAACTTCCACTGCTTGACCCTAAGTATGATGAGTCGTTAAAATCAGATCTTCAGGGAGAATTCAAAAATGAAATAAAATATAGGGTGTTCCGATAAAAAAAAACATAGCTTATTTGATGTGCTGTGACCTTACGGAACACCCTGTGTATTTTAAAGACATTTTGAAATGTGAAGCTCGGTTATCACTTCAATTTGAATGCAAAACTTTTTTTTGTATCTCGCAAGACAACAGAGGTATCGAACTCTGGAGTCTTAGTTGGCCACCCTGTACACACTCAATAAAGAGCGTGTTATGAGATGTTCGAAGCACTCTATAGTTGGTAGGTACCTACAAGGATTCAAGACTCAATTCGAACCCAAGTTTTTTGAAACTCGATATTTTGTTTCAGGGATTGATAAAGAGTGTTAACTTCATACGAACGCACTGTATAACTATCCCGAGTTTACAGATGAATCTTTCAAGAACATTTTCAAATTAACTTTTTACACATCCCAAAAAAATAACGCACTACCAAAAAGTATCCGAAAGTTTGAGATAGGTACATTTTCGTCAAAACTACTTTTTCGATTTGGATGTTTTTTGTTTTGAATGACAGGTTATCTCCTTCTGAATATTGGCGTGTAAACTGTATTCGCATAATATCCTCTTTTTCCAGAATACCAAGTGTAGCAATTATAGTGTTTCATTCATGACATTTGTATTGCTCCGTAGAGTGTAACGGTTACATCATCAAGTTAGAATTGAAATTAGACTTCAGCCTCATGTTTTTTCAACATTTCCTCTTTGGATTTACTCCATTATCTTCCGTTTTACTCCAGAAACACAATTCCATAGCATAACATGATTTTATTGAATTCAATTAGTATTATAAGCAGGTAAGTAGCAGGCTACGATCTGGGGAGGCATTTCTCTAACTCGTCGATTGGAACTTGCGATCATAAATGGAAGCCTTATTGCTGAAAGGTACATATTGAAGATTTCATATCCACATAAATTGTGTAAAGATTTTTGTTGATGCAAGATAATGCCAGGCCTCACGTTGCCAGAGTTGTGAGAAATTATCTAAAGGAAGTTGGTATCGCTACCATGGCATGCCCAGCTCGGAGCCCAGATTTGGATTTCATTGACGATCTCTGGGACATTCTTGGGACAAGAGTACAAGAGGAACGTAACTTGAATACTTTGGAAGACGCACGGCAGGGACTGGCACAAATTTGGGAAGACCTGGACCAAAACGACAAAAGGTCTTTTATTTTTCAAGTATAGGCCATCGTTGCCAAGAAGTTATTCTTGCGTGAGGCGGAAATACTCGCTACTGACCTCTTCGAATTCTGTTTCCTTATTTGTTTGTTTGTCAAATTTTGATATCAATTCTTCATAAAAGCATGTTACGCTATAAAATGGTACACTACACTGTTTTACCACTAACTCTGCCGATTTTTTGAACGCCTCGACACGTGTTTCGCAAATGGGCGTGTACATCTTAGTAGAACTTTTAACTCAAACCATGTTTATAATGATCCTTTTATACATAAATAATGATTGACGGCATAATACGATCGAAGAATTAACTGGAATATTTTATTTTTGGACAAAAATAATAGTACCTTTTGAAAACGGACCCTCTTATGACGTAGAAACCTCATCCCGCCATAGTTGAAAGAAAATACCAAACGCCCGACGGAGACTGAGGCAACTGATATATATATTCTTTCAACTGTGATCTCGCGCTAATTCACTCTGTCAGAAATCATGTATAATTCATCTCTGTCTGGAATAGTCTTGTTTCAGTATTAGGGTTTTTTTGTCACATCATCACCTCCGAAAAATCGCGGATTTCAATATTTTTTTATAAAACGTAGGGAGCTCACAGCAAGAAACGGTTTGCGGTGGTGAGCTAGTTTGGGTGAGTTCTATCGAATTATGAAATAAAATTTCTTGTGATATAAGCCCATTATGTTAGCATCTTCAGGAGGAGATTAAAACACCCGGTATGTATGAAAAATAGGTTTTTCATTCGAATTCAGTTTGCACACCAATGTTCAAATGGAGATATAACTTGTCATTGGATGCAAGACACGTCCAAATAACAGGTAGTTTTGACGAAAGTGCATCTTAGACTTAATGCTACTTTTTGATGGTGCATTAAATTCTTGGAAAAGTGTATGTAGGTGTGCATGTTTAAACAGATTCACAATTCTACGTTTTCCAGTTTTCTGAAATCAACAGCATCTATAAATAATAAATATATATCAATTTTCTAACATCGACACAGGTAGGTATAGATATAAATAATTATGATTTTATTCAGTCACAAACCAGTGGTGGACTCAATTGGGAAAGTACCCTTGTTATCGTGCAATTCTATGACTTCTTTTCCATCACTCATCGGGATTATTTTCTTAGAATCCTGTATTCCTTGATTGTCCTTTTCTTCAACAGTTGGGTGTTTCGTAGCACTCATTCCTCTCATCATTTCTTCCGAATCAACAACTTTATTCATACTTTCGGTTAGGATGTCACAAAGGGAACTGAGAGGAGCGATTTCATCCTTGTTCCAAAACTCAGTTCTCTGATCTTTCCAATCGATCAACTTCATCAAGTTTCTGAATCCATCGCCATCACTTGTACCGGCTTTATGCAAAAGATCGATATACTTGGGAAACAGTTCCAAGCCAGCAGAAATGGCCTCCAAATTGCGAACCATCTCGATGTCACGTGTAGCCAAGTTGCACTGATTCAGGATTTTCAGAGCTTCGTTCAACAGAGGGTTCGCTTTTTCCGGTTCCCCATTGGTCAGGTAGTATTCACCGAGGTTCTTATAAGCCTGGCCCAGATAGAACGGAAGATTATAGGTTTCTGCTGACTCTTTCAACAACATCAATGTCTTCAAGCTCATGGCTGTGTTTCCATCTATAAGGTAGGCTTTGGCAAGTTGAATCCTCACTTTGCACATCCCTTCCTGGGTTCCGAATCGTTGCTGCAACTGGAAAGCTCTAAGAAGAGAATTGATAGCAGCTTTTACGTCTTGGATGTTCATCTCGCATATTCCTTTCATAACAAGAGCTCTAGTTTCCCCACTGTGGTAGCAAGCATCAGCTGCTCTTCTCCTAGCTTCAACTATCACGGGAATAGCTTTTTTATAATCGATTTTCACGAGTTGCTTGACATTTCGGTAGAGACATTCGAAAAGGTAGTGGTTGATTTGCATGAAGAGTGTGCCCTTTTCGTCCGGAAAGTAACCTTTGCTGGTCCAACCCTTACGCTGCGCTATCTCCCTAGCGATTTTCAGGTGGCCCTTGGCGTCATCGAACTCCTTCATGTTTTCAATGAGAAATTTCGCGTACGCGAATCGGCTGAGTGCCTCGTACTTGCCTTTCAAGGATTCGTACTCCGTTGAAACTTTAATGGACTGGATCAAGAGCTGTTCTCCCAGCCACCACCAATCGTAGTGTGAGAAGGCGAAGTAGACAGCTAATCCAAGGAACACTTCGCATTCCTTGGCGTAGTCGCTTTCCATGTGGTATTCTTCGGATTTGATGAGGCCTTGCTTTAAATGATCGAGCTCGGCTCTGCTGTAGATCAGTTGAGGTCTCAGCCAAATATGAGAGACTGGCCCGGCTTGTTGGCGGAGTTCTTCTTGGAAGTTGAAGAGTTCTTGGATGAACGATGCCGTACAAATGAAACCTTGTTCGCGCAGATTGATCAGGAGGGCTTCGTGGTAGGGAAGCCTGTATTGCCGGATTTCATCTACGTTGTAGACTGGTAGGTCACCACGCATCTTCGTGATGTATTCATTGATTTCTTCTTTTCTGCGGCGTTCTCTCTTGAAGTAGTTATCGTCCAAATGGTCTTCCATCGTATCGCTGATAAATGTTCCGAATTTATTGAAGTTTCACTGACTGATGTTCCTAATCAATGTCAATGGATGAAGTCATAGTGATATCCGTATGCCTACCCGGACTTCCCCGACCTTGATAATACTGCCACTTCGATCAAGCCGAATTGACCTTCTTTTTTTTGAAATCGGTGGAAAAATATGATATCATAGTTATTTGATTTTTATATGATCATAGGTATTGCTACTCCAATATTCATGGGGTTTTAGTCCGCATTCAGATTCATAATATGTTCTCTCATTCCCTTGAAGATAAGTTTACAGACAATCCTCATATCGTATAGGTTTGTGTCAACATGTCAATGATATCATTTTCAATACTCACTGCGACTTATCGATACCTTTATAAATAAAATCAAACATACAAGGAGCTTTCGACATTGGAAAGACACATAAAATGTGTTGTGTGAGAAATGCATAACTCGAAGAATTTACAAATAAAATACTCCATGGAATGATTTGATACTCTCTCCGTGACATTGCAAAAGTCCATGATACTTCCAATGATTCTGAACTCACCGAAAGCGAACGCTTGGGTTTGCTGATCCATGATTAACCAAGATTTCAGTCAAACTTTGGAATCCGATATTTTCCAAAATACTGTTTTTGCGACGAAAATGTATTCTCTCATTCGTGTTTGCTCTATTACCCTATTATTACGTCCAGGTAGACGTGCGGACAGAGTGTCAATATTATAATCCGCATTCGTTTGCTGGTCGTGGGTTCGATTCCCATCGACTGCAGACATTTTTCTGATGGAATTTCTACAGCTAGTGGTGGAAAAATACGTTTATCGCTGAATATTCAGTGAACTAAACAAAAATAAATGCTACCCTCACAATCTGTTGCTTCAAAGTCGGTCTCTCGGTTCGCCACGAACTCCTACTCGCAAAAATCGACCAACGTAATATAACTTGTTTTCAACACTTTGAGAATAAAGCTAAGAATTTTGAGAAAGAATAAAAAAAATCGAGAAAAAATCACATAATTGTCGTACATTCCTACTCGAAACATCGACCGACGCCTTATAACTGGAAATCCTCGAACTTGACCGCAGGCGGGCAGCCGTCCCCGTAGAAGAGGTCGAGGTAGCCGCCCTTGTTGGGGCCGAGACGCGGGTCGGGCGGGCTCTGGAACCGCCCGCGCTCCGTCGATCCGAAGGCCTCGTTGAAGTCGGGCAGCGGCTTGGTGGGCGGTCTTTTGGCGGGGGCAGGCGCTGCGGGCGGCTGTGGGGGGTGAGATGGTTGCGGTGGCGCGACGCGCTAATGGAACATCATGAAGTGTAGATCGATTATTTTCAAATATAATATAACAAGTGTCGATAAAATTGCCGATTATTCTCCGACTTCACTTGACGAGTTATCATAAAATTCGAAAATATAACGAGTGCGTAGCACGAGTTTTATCTTCTAAAATTTTATGATAACGAGTAATTGTGAAGGAGGAGAATATTCAGGACAATTTCATCGACACGAGCATGAGAATTTCACAATTTCTGCTCTTTTTCTTTTTTAATAATTCGAACTAGAATTTATTTCAATTCATTTAGATACATACATAGATAATTACAATTCATTACAATTGAAATTCTGAACATTGAAAGAACAGTTCTGAAATACTATTTTTGAATCCGTTTGCTCATTGTTCGTCTTATTATAGCTGCTACAAGAGTAAATTTTGCTGGCATCGCTGAATGTAGAACTGGAACTCGCTCTCATTTTTGTTAGGATTTCAAAGTGTCTTTTTGGGTGCATTTTCATAAAGGATTGTAGAGAACTGGAACTGCTGTGTCCTGTTATCTTCATCATTTCTTGTTCAGACACTTCAGCTTGGGCAAGATGAGTGACAGCGGTAGATCTATGGCTGTGATTGCTGAATTTTTTGTTCTGAATATCCAAACCCATTTCCTGACAAGTTTCGTTAGTTCATTTTGACATAGAGTTTATTCCAATAGGACAAATTTTGTACCAACCAATACTATCCGGATCCTTCCATTTAGGATTTGGAGTGGAAAAAGCATATGTATTTGCTATCACCCCTTTCAAGTTAATCCGGTACACCGTATTTTAATGTAGATATTGTGAATAATTTCCGGAAATGGAGGTTTATCAAACCTGTCAACAGGTAACTAATCCTTCAGGTTGGGAAAGTAGGATATATAAGCCAGCCAATGTTAGTTTAGTTCATCGTATACCAGTATATCACCTGACGAAGCTACTGTGTTAGCGAAACATGTCGTGTGTTTGAGAATTTTGTGGAAATCTTATCGTTTGTGAAGTTTTCACATTTGCCATGAATTTACATCAAGTAACGGCCGAGTCAATTCTAAATTATCAGAGCTCGTGTGGAATTCGGTAAGAAAATTACACATCAGATCGTGGATAAAAATTGGATAATTATAGAATTCATGTATTCATTTAATTTTCATATAGGTTCATGAACAAATTTAGTTTGCATCACAGTTTCGACTATATAGCTTATAAAATCTTAATTTCTATTTATGTCAGTTGAAATGACAATACCAGCTTACAATAATCCATTTTATATCAACTTTGGGTCACTACAAGTGGTAGAAAATTAAAATGTCAGCAATTTTTTATAGGAAGGCATACATTTCATTTTAATAGATGCAGTTTGGGCCCCAATGGATTCTTAGTATATAAATTGTTGATTTCAACTCATTGTAGTTAGCACATAGTCACTATTTTTGGATGTGTGATATTATATTCTTTCACTTTATTGTTATACCAGGTTATACTCAGAGGCTACTACAAGCGATAGAACATTAGAATTTCAACGGATTTTCATAAAGGTATATACAGACTGCTTGTTCATATTTTACTCATCAGCTATCTGACTTGATATTGGTCTTACAAACACTTCCAAATACGCAAATATGGAGTATTTTCCATTAGCTTTCAGAATTCAGTACTTATTTTACATAAACTGGTATTCTTTTAAAGCTACACCCTGTATTTTATTGTTCTAAAGAAACCTTCCTGTAGAAGTTACAACGATGAAACTTATTTTCTAAGTATTCGATGTGTTCCTATATTGAATGACTATTTCACCAGTTATACCTATCAACTCCTTATATTTTGATACAGGGTGAATCGAAAAATCAAAAATATAAAAATGTTCCATCAAATAACTTTTGAGTTCAAATTTCGTATGGGATTATTTCAGCTATGCCTGATTCGAATAGACTAGTCACTGTTGAAAAAAATTGCCTAATAATCGTTTTTGAAATTTTGACCCCTTCAACAATCAGAAGTAGGCCTTGAAACTTTGAATATTCCAGATTTGTCCACATTTTCTGATAGAGCTCGTTGAGTACTATATAATATGATTTCTGTTTTTGAAAATCGGTCGACTAGTTCTGAATTAGGAGGGTGTTGCGTGTTGAAATCGCACACACTGTATATCACTTCGTTATCAGATGAACGTCGAAATTTGCAGACGGCTCTTGGACTAAAAAGATCGTTGTCCCACAACAGCACGTTATGATATAGCTCCAATCATAGATAAACCAATTGAGAGACATGTCGTATCGAATAATGGAACAAACTGAAGAACAAATGTCTGCAAAATTTGGAAAAATTCTTCATGCTCCCAACTTGATGGACGATTTTTGGGATCTTTATCAGTATATTCCTCGCAATTGTTTTGCAAGTTTCTTCTTATCCCTTCAAGTATTCGAAAAAACAATTTAAAAAATGTGAGATTTTCTCTATCAGACAAGAAATATTCTTCATTACAGCGATATTTCACCTAGGATGTGTTATCCTGGCCAATACTTGCATAAAATCTTATGTTTTTTATATACAGAGTGTTTTTCAAACATAATGAATACATATTATTACAGGAAGACCGAGCTCAACACATTGATCAACTTGTATAGTGTTTAAGATTGAATGATAGGAATTTTTCTCGAGATTCCACAAAATACGAGAGAATAAATCTACAGGGAGATGCACCAAGTTCGATGGGATTGTATTCAGAGATACTTTGGTAGTTTATAAACTCATATACAAGGTGAACCACAATTACCTTTTTTTTTTCAGAAGAAATTCGAGAGTATCACGAGCACACTCTGACAGATTTTGATATTTTCACGAAATTGTTTGAACGATTGATTGTGCATGGAGGCACTAACCCTCAAGGTGGTGGGTAAAGTGAATCAGATCTTACAACAAAAAATTGAGGTGTTTCCTTAATTTTTCAAAATTCTCGACTCAAGCCATTCGAAAAGGGTGCTTGGACCCAAGGGCGTCGCCAGAGAGGGGCAGGGTGGGGCAGCTGCCCCCCCCCCTACGTTTAACACTCACCAGTCACCCTGCTATCGTTGAAACGACTATTTCATTCATCACATAATCTGACCAATCACAAGCCAGAGAAAACGTGTGCTTATTGCGAAAACTAGATGTTTTCAACGATGTAACCATGGGTAGCGAAGCGAAGTCTGTCAATATGGCAAAAAATAATGACTGTACTTGTCAGAATGAATCATCCATTCAAAATAAATGCTTCTTTGCTTCGTGAACGTGAAATAGTCTCCACTCTGTTCTGAATATATTCTCATAATTCTTCATTTCCTTGTCAAATCTATTGTGTTGCCGTACAGCCCTACCTTTCGTCCTGACTCGTGGTGTTGCTCAGCAACACAATTTCGTGAACAATGAGGCGACAGAATTATCTCGAATATTAAGAATATCGTGATATTACTTATGATAACGCTCACTTTGAGCAAATAACTTCCGAAAGTTTATTTTTCTCCTGAAGTTGAGAAGGCTCTGAAGATCCTTGTTGCATTTACCTTGTAAGATTTGTACAGTTGAAAGGTCATTTAGTAGCCTTAGGAGAATCAAAACCTGGTCGAGGAGCACCATGTATGATGCTCGACTCAATGGCCTCGCAATGATGTATACACAGGCAACATATTTTCAAAAACTTGAACGCTTTCGTCAAAAAGTGACCAACGAATTCCCAAAGAACCCTAGAAGATTATTTTTCAACTGATTTACTGTATAGATTTTTTCTGTTTTTTGATTTTCTCATCAAACTCTTTCTATTTGATTTTTCTCTTCAGTTTCTTTATGGTGCCCCCCCCTATTTTTTCCGCTGGCGACGCCCTTGCTTGGACCTACATTATTTTTTGTAAATTTTTGGTCCCATTACTTTTCGAATGAACGATAAAAACGCATTATTTCGATTCACTAAATCCCGTTTGACGGTACATCAATAGATTCGTATTTATGACTAGAAATCGTATTCCACCATTTTTTCTATCAAATATCTTGTTTCAAGAACGTTTCAATATTTCCCTACTAATTTTATTAATGTGAATGTAAGTTTGTTAGGTTTTCACGCCAAAACTACTCCACCGAATATCATGAATCTTTTTAAAGCTCTTTTTAGATGTATTGTTAGAAGGGACAAAATATCCAACAATCAGACATGAAACTCTATACGTCGGTATCTTAGATTGTAAATTATCAAAATACATCTTCTGGGACTCATAAAACCTAACATCAGGTGGGCACATCAGGTGCGCAAATTCATTACTGCATAGGAAATACCCTTCAGATTTTTTGCTATTCAGTGACTTGACCACGAATGATATCAACGTTTCAGTCTCCTACGCAACCAAAATGCACATATTCAATACTACCATAATTGGTCCATCTAGAAGGCGCAACAAATAATCCATGCGGAGGCAATACAGAACATATAATCCGGCCGAGAAGTTTGCTCACGGTCGATCCTGAAAAGAACATCATTAAAATAGCAATTCACTACGACTCCAACAGTATTTGTTTCGATTAATCACTTCGAAAAAAGAAAAAAAAGAGTAGGTGGAGTACAGGATTCGAACCCGTGACCTTTGAACTTAATAAGCACGCACCTTATATAACTCCATTGGCCATTATGTCACATTATGTTTCCTGCGAATTTATGTACAGAACAGATTTATAGAGGAAAGATTATCATCACCAGACGGATTATTTGTTGCATAGGCTCCTTATGGCACGGTGAACCATTTCGGGTAGTATTGAATTCGTGCAACCAAAATTCAATTTTTGAGGTTAGCTGTCAGTTTATTGTTTAAGTTATTACTAGCTGCTTTTGATTTTCACTCTGTTCATTTTCAAAATGCTTCGGAAGCGTAAATCTGATCTGTCTAGGAGTTCATCACATTGATTCAGTTTCATTGGAATGTAATGGTATTTAGTATTCTTTCAAAGGCTTCAACGCGAGCAAAAGCGCTGGTAAAAGCTAAAGTCACTGGATGGTATTAGTTAAATAAGAGTTCGGACACAGAAATGACAACTGTTAGGGTTTTTAAATGTTTAGATTCATTAAAGTTACACACCTTGCATTGTGACAAGAGCATCATATATAGTCGTTCCGCGCTTTTTCATTCAAAATTGTTTGAATTCACCAATACATTTTATGAACGTCAGAATTGAAATATAATTTCATAAACTATTGCGAAAAAGGCATAAATGAAAATGTCCTGCTGTGTAATGAATTGTGGGAATTCTGAAGACAATGAATTTCATTTATTCCATTTTCCGAAGGAAATATCAACAATTCTCTTTTGGAAGGAATGTATAAAATGGCCTGGATAAAAAATTAATTCGAAGACAAGAACAATTCGTGAGGTACATACATTAAAATTCACTTCTCAAAACAGCAGATTAGAATGAAATTATATTTCAGGCCCATTTTCAAACAGATGATTTTAAGATCCGGGATCCGGTTGAGAGAATCTATACTGTTACATCCATTTACAAAACAGACTATTTGAAAAAAAAATTTATTATCTTCATCACACGAAATACAAAACGAAATTATCATGGAGAAAGCAAAACCACCTATATAAACGTAATGAAATTGAGAATTTGAGAACGATTCTAGAAAATCGAGTAAATTGCAACGAGAATTGCGACAGTAGGTAGTATTTCAATATTTCTGCATAATATTGTGTAATGCTAATTTCAAATTTGATTGTAAAAACATAATATTCGGTAGGCCTCGTCAAAATAAACTATACTTTTTTCCTATGAAATTTTTATCGAAAAATGATTTTTTCTCTGTATTTCAACACCCTGTATCTCCGAAATGAAACATTTCGGACACAAGCTTATATAGACTTTATTCCTTAAAATAGTCTCAGGAATACTTCACTTGAACGTACTTATGCATGTTACTTCCTGTATATTGAGAATACCTACCTTTAATTTAATATTAATAACTTCATGTTTTATACTTAGCACTGTAGTACAGTTTCATAAATACAATAAGGAATTATAGCTATAATTTTATCCATATGTATATATTTTCTAATATTAAAATGTTGTTACATGCATTCTTTTCATTTATATATATTTTATGTTTATATAACAGTTGTTCTGCTAGAAGTGTCTGCTAGAAGTGTATCACTATAAATTGAAGTGGGTGTTTGAACCCTATATCCATTGCTCATCTACGACGATGATTGATTTGACAGAAAATATAACCACTAAAATCGTATCTGACAATCAGGCACTACTAGGGAAATTGAAAAGACAAAGAGCAGAATATATGTCTTATTCTTTTATTCACTTAAACCATTGTATTATAGAAAATAGAAAAGGACTAAAGTTCAGCTGTGTCCCAACTCTTATCTAACCAATATACCATCCAGTGACTCTAGTAAAAGCTAGTAGTTTAAAAATGTACGAACCTTTTTGGACTGACGAACCCCTTCCGCCTTATCACTCTGTTGCTGCTGCTGCACCTGCACCTGCTTGTGCTGCTGATCACTCCCATCCACCTGTTGCTCCCCCCCATACAACCCCAAGAACCCGCCGTTGTTCTCCGCCAAGGGCTGCCCGCTCTCCCCCAGTTTCGGCTCTCCGAACCCGCCATCCTCAGACGCGACCTTTGTCCACCCGTCGGGCGGCATGTTCTCGTTGGAATGGGGCGGCGTCATGGACATGTTAGAGTTAGAATGGGGCGGCGTCATCGGCATCGAGATGGCTGTGAGCTGGTGTAGGGGGTGGGGCGTGTGGCGGTGCTGCTGGTCCATCATGTGGGGCGAGGGGATGCTCAGCGGCGGCGACGGTTGGTGGTGGGGCGGGTATGGGGATGGCATGTCTTGGTGCATCATGAAGGGGTTTCCTGGAAAATAGGTAAGTAGTTGATATTCGTGGGCTTCATGCCAAAACTCATTGAGTCAGATTGTTTGAATCTGGAGAAACAAAAGAGTTAAGCATTTCTTTGAATCGCGTTGCTTTCACCAAATTCAGTATATCAGTTCAACTGATTATGTATGCGATTTCGAGTCACTTAAGATGATTTCGAATGATCCAGAAAGAAATTTTTTCCCAATATCGCAGCCATAGAGAGAAATGGTACAGGCGTGTTGTTCCACATTTTTCAAGGGTAACGACGAAGGGATGTTCTGACTGGGCCTGTTGAGTGCGTATGGCTAGTGATGCTAGTGATGAAATTATATAACAGATATTTCTGAGGAACATTTCTCGTGGAAGTATCTATAGAAATGTTGGTCGGGCTATAAACTTTTCGTCTAGGGATTCAAAATACTACTTCATTCCCTAGGTTTATAATGTACTATTTGATGACTCCAAACTAGGATTCAGCACAAGCCTTTCAATTTATAGTACTTGCCATCGAATCATCTTGTTGATTGATATTATATTCACCTGATGATGATCTGGGTCTCATCTCGTCCTGGAAGTTATGCCACATCTCCGTTTGCTGATGTAGTTGGGTCAAAGAATTTTGCTGAAAAAAAAAAGTAAGTAAAATAGTGTGCTATATAAAATACTTCTCTAAAATAGAATACAACATTTCAAAAATCGTTATTGTGCCGAGTGATGAAAAGTGTGACCTACAGGCCACTTACTAGTCAACTTTACTGAGCATTTATTTTTTCATCTCAACTGATTGAGTCCAAAATTCAACTTGTCATACATCATTATATTCAGAAAAAAATCTAGAACAGGAAAAAATATATGGTGCCATTTGAAGAACCTTTAACAGTCGCTGGCGATACAGCCTTTTAGTATATCAAAAGTATTTCTCACTTAGACCAGATCTCTTTGTTCTGAAATATTTGAATGAAAATTCGAAATTATAACCGCGAAAGATAAACCATAAAGTTTTAGTCATGTTGTAGCCATCTTGCAAGATGTTATACCCTGCGTCTTCGAAATGGGTGATATACACGAAGCGTAGAGTTGTCCCAGTTGTCAGCAGACCGAGAACGGCTGATGAGACCTGGAGGGTCGAAACAGTACTGTCTCGCTCCTGCTGACAATTGGAGCAACTCTGTTCATCCTAGATCTCTTAGTTATGCGATTTAGCAGTTGATTAGGTGGTGAAAAAATTCCACTCAAGTATGTCAGGCAGTGCCATCTGAGTGATTTACTTGTAGTACCACTCTGTAGCGTATAGACGTAGGGGTCTGTACGTGTGACTATAGATGGCAGCGCCATACGTGTGTGTCGCGATATCTGTATCCTACCTTAGAGCTTTGCCACAAGATGGCTACAACATGACTACAACTTCATGTTATACCCTGCGTCTTTAATATTATGCATTCAAATTTGCTATATGGAAATCATTCCTGGTGAAAAAATATTTTTCTGCTGAACAGAAAGAGTTATTCTATGCAGAAAAAAAAACTTTTTACAACTGAAAATGATGAAAAATTGCTATGCAAGATCCTATTTTGGGTCAAATTTCTCGTAAACTGTTCTTTTGAGCTCAATTGAAGGTGATGGAAATTTCATCAGTGGCGTACAAAATATGGGAGGAAAAGTAACCACATCCCACTGTAGCGCACCTCTGGATAAAATGTCCGGAATGAGTTTCTTAGTCAAAAAATGACCAATTCAAAGATAAACCATATACCGAATTTGAATGCACAATATTCAATAATTCTTGAGTTCTTGCGAAAAAACTATATGTTCATTTCTCAACTTCAACACCCCGTATTTCGAGAACTGAACAATTGAAGAACGTATGTCTCTATCTCAGTCATTATGAAATCACGAGGGAACACTCTATAACGAACCCTATACTTCTCAGTCTCCAATACGCCACTGCCATCACTGCCTACAACCATTTTCTTCGAATTATCCCGCATTCAACACGTATACCGTGAGAAATTTAATATACCTACATAACATATAATTGCTATTAGAAATTTCAACAACTTGTTGCTGGATTTCAAAGGGAGGCCGAGATAGGAATCCAGATTGTGTGCCACCGCCGCAGACATGAATGGAAACAGTTTTATCTGACATTGATGAGTTTCAGCTGAAAGCGAAACGGTTCAGATTATTTGCCATTTCAATGGATATATTATTTTTGTGCTCACGTATTTTGCAGTGTTTCAGCTTTGTGATGAGTTGAAGGCATTTCTTTAGGTAGATAGATTTTTTCGCTGGAAGAATAACGATATGTAATAGGATGGGTAAAATTCGCGGATGTGGACTGGCTGTATTTAGAGTTCCTAAATGTACTTGACATAGCTGTTTTGACGTTTTTTGTAATAAAAAAACGTCAAAACAGCAGTATCAAGTACATTTAGGAACTCTAGCTGTGTTGACTGGTTATTTCCAGCAAACAATAAATCATTGCATATTTGGATTCAGCCAGGGCCTACTGTATCTCACAAAATAGACAAATATTTGTGTAATTGTGGTAGATGGTATTCGTCATCGATTCATTGCATGAAATAGCAGCAAGCAGAATATTACCAACGTGTACTCCTATATTATGGGACTTTTTTGAATGACAGGCATAGAAGAAGGAGTCGATTTTGGGTTCATCCTATCGATACTGTTCATGCAAGATTTCTCCATGAAGGCCATCAAAATTTATTATAATAAGAGATGCGATTCACTGATGTAAATAAATACTTCAATCATTTAAGGGTTACACCTGATTTATTCCATATTTTTCTGAAATTAGTTGCTCCTCTTTTGAAAATGTCGCAACTCGACCATCAATAGCAAATTGAACTTTTTATATTATATTATTATACTGATATTACTGCTGTCACACTTTAAATAACTTTGACAGACATTCCCTCAGATATTTTTTAAAATAGCAAAGCAACAAATCAGACAAAGATGTGAAACTATTTTATTATTATTATTATTATTATTAAATTTGAACAAGGGCAGAGGCAAGGCCTATTATTCCCAAAAATATATAAACAGATAATTAAATTGAATATTGAAGTGTACAGGATATAGTATGGAATGAATGGATATAAATGATATACATATTGCACAATACATATGGATACCTATAGTTCACTGAAACTGATACGAGTCATAGCGGTACACTTGGCGCTGTTACCACATCACCAGGTAGGGCGTTCCACCTCGAAAATATTCGATTAGGAAAGAATTGTTGTCTAGCAGTAGTACGAAAGTTTTCTCGTCTCAACTTCATGGAATGACCTCTCAATCTGTCGTCGTTCTGAAGTTGAAATAATCCAGAAAGATCTACAGAGAAGGAATCGTGCAGGATTCTGTAAGTCATAATGGCGTCTCCTCTAATACGTCGCTCACTGAGAAGTAGATGAGAAGTAAAACTTGGACCAACATCAAGCATCATGATCTTGAGAAAGCGGCAGCTGAATTTGGAAGATTAGGCTCACCGCGAAAAGCTAGCAACAGAAAGCTGGTGTGGAAGGCCACCTCATTGAGGTCTCTTCCAAAATTTCGCCTGATAGCCCTGAAAATACGTTCTCGCAGTCTGAGCTCGCAGTTATCAATTCGCCCAAGTCGCCGTGATCATTATTGGTGTGAGTATAGACTCGTAATGATGTTATGCACAGAAAAGACGAATTCAAGATACGTGAGTGGCACACCATATTATAGTTCCACCATAAGCATACCTACTTGTTTTTTTACGCGCAATTCGACGGCGGAATAGCCCAGATCAGAGCAGAGAATTTTCATATGTAGAACGAATAAGTTCTCATATTCTTAGCCTCGGCCGGAGATGATTCCGCACGATTCACTGTTGCGCCCCAATAATAATAATAATAATAATAATAATAATAATAATATTTATTTCACTTGTTAAACCGTATGAAAGCGTTACAATAAACATTTACGTACAGTAACAAGGAATACGTCTGTGTATAAATAAGAGAGTAGAAGATAAATATTGTTATGATATCCAATATGTGATGTATATAAATGTGATGAAAACCTGCTATGAAATTCAATTTTTCCTGAGTGTATGCATTTTTAGTTTTGCCATTTCGGTCAGAGCAAATAGATTAAGTTTACTAGTCACAGCTCTATACTGATATTATTATTCTATTCAGTCTTGGTTAAATAGTGTAGGTATTTTGAAAAGAGCGCAAAATTATTATTTTCACATAAAGAAGAACATTCTGTAGAGGGATGTCAGACTGAAAAATACGATAAAAGATGACAGCGGTCAATAGTTTTGATTTTGAAACAAGAAGAAATAGAAATTTTGAGAAGGAAACGAAAAGGAGGAATGTGTCTGATGAATTTGAAATCAATTGAGGTTTGGAAAAAATATTTGGAATAAAATTTGTGCTATAATGTAGTCAGTAGGGAAGCATTGTTATAAGAGGTATGTCAATAGTGAAATAGGAAAGGAAATCATGAATATGATTGGATAGTGGAACGAGAAAAAACGAGAGTAGAGTTTCCAGGAGATTTATTGAAAAAAAAAGAAAGAAAGGAGGGAAGAATTTGGAATTTTGGGATGGAGAGTTCAAAATTGATGATCGAAATTCATTGAAATAACAAGCAGCAGTTAAAAAATTACATATACCAAACATATTCAAGTGGTGAAACCAGAACATATAGAGGAAAGTTTTTGGAATAGTGTTTTCATCAAAAATGAGATTGAGTTTCCAAGAGTGAGCAGAGAGCAGACGCAGAGTTTCCTGATAAGAAACCCACATCACAAGTTTCTTACGTATTTGAAGATATCATCCAGGATCGAGGACTAGCAAAGTGAGTGCTATTATTGTTGAAAAGTTATCAATACTCCCGGAACTTTTTGTATTCAAACGCAGTTATACAATCAAGACATTCAAAATTGTGTTTATTTATCAAATTTTGGTATGAAATGAAAAGAACATTCTAGAT